ACTTCCCCTGGCGCAGCTTGAGGCCGTTTCCTCTCGTCCTATCACTCGTTATTAGGGAGAAGAGACCGACCCCCACCTCACTACAACCTCCTTTCAGGTAGTTGTAGAGAGCAATAAGGTCTCCCCTCAGCCTCCTCTTCTCCAGACTAAACAACCCCAGCTCCCTCAGCCGCTCCTCATAAGACCTGTTCTCTAGACCCTTCACCAGCTTCATTGCCCTCCTCTGGACACGCTCCAGCACCTCGATGTCCTTGTAGCGAGGGGCCCAAAACTGAACACGGTACTCGAGGTGCGGCCTCAGTGCCGAGTACAGGGGCACTATGTACCCCTGCGCAGCGTACCTGTGCAGCAGGTGTGGGAGGGAGGAGTAAGAAGAAAAATGTGAGAGAAACAACCCTGCAGACACCAAGGTCGGTGAAGAAAGAGATGCTGGAGCAGAGATTCCCCTGCAGCCCGTGGAGGAGACCATGGGGAAGCAGGTTGTCCCCATGCAGCCCATGGAGGACCCCACGCTTCAGCCGGTGGATGTGCCCTGCAGGAAGCTGCAGCCTGTGGAGAGGAGCCCACGCAGGAGCAGGTTTGCTGGCAGGGACCCATGGGGGACCCACGCTGGAGCAGTTCTTGAAGGACTGTATCCCACGGGAGGGTCCCCATGCTGGGGCAGGGGAAGAGTGTGAGGAATGAGCAGCAGAGATGAAGTGTTATGGATTGACTGAAACCCCCCTTTCTCTGTGCACTGCTTGGCGGGGAGGAGATAGTTGGGCCTGGGAAGAAGGAGGGGTGGGGGGAAGATCTTTTTAGTTTTGTCTCCGCTTCTCACTATCCTAATCTGTTTTTAATTGGCAGTTAATTAATCTTCCCCAAGTCAAGTCTGTTTTGACCTTTCCAGTAATTGGTGAGCGATCTCCCTGTCTTTATCTTAACCCATGAGCTTTTTTATTTTATTTCCTCCTGTTGAGGAGGGGGAGCAAGAGAGCGGCTGGGTGGGTGACTGGCAGCCAGCTATGGTCAAACCACCCCATTGCAGGTCGCGTAACCACACAGCTGAAGGCTGCGCTTCCACAGCTGTTTTCTGCCAGCCCTGGTGCTGTCCTCTGTCTGTCTGTGTACAGAAATGTACCTGGAAAGTCACCGAGGAGGCAGGCAGTGCCAGAAGCTTCTCTGTGAAGCGGGGTCCAGCTCCGAGAGCTGCAGTTTGCTCTGCGGAGGTCAGCCCGCTCGTGGGTCACGATATCGTTGTGTGCTGGCATCCCACATCATGATCCGAAGCTGCAAGATCCAAGCAGTGACTCTGTGTAACAAGTGCAAATCAATCCTCTGCGTGTTCGACACACCCGCGTGGTTTCTGCTGCTCCGCTCCCTGTGTGAGCCACGGTGCCACTTGGCTTCCCACCTGTGGTTTCATACAGGCAGCTGCTGCACAGAGGAGCTGGTCTGCACTGCGCTCTCTTGTGTTCCTCAGGCAGGGAAAACAATAAAAGCAAAATTCTTGTCTATGATTTTACTGCTTACAGTGAACATAAACCACGCCAGGAATGAGGTCAGCCACAGCAGAGGATTTCAGGTGCAAAGGACTGTGGCTTTGTAAAACAATTCACAAGCTGGGAAAGAACGATGCCCGTCACACATACCATTTTCGGAGGGATGGACATGGATATCAAACTTTCTCTCACGTGTTTTTCTTCAACGTCTTTCCAGGGAGTCAGTCAAACATGCTAGCGTGGTTTCCTTTTATTTAGCTAGCCTGTCATGCCCAAGGTAAGACATGGTGCTGATTTAATTTCTGAGAAAAATTAATAGATGTTATTTTTTCCCCCTAATTCTTAGCATCTCTGTCTTGAACTTGAAAACCTTGAGCCTTTAAATTGAGTAATTTGACTTAGACTTGAGTCTTTAAATTGATTAATTAATTTCCAGATGTCTGTGAAGAAGGGATGCCTCAAGGCTGCTGCTTTGGAGTCCCAAACAGGACAGAGCAGGGCTGAGCGTGGTCAGCACGCCCAGTCGGGTAAGTCAGAGCTCAGCGCAAACACCATCTCACTGGTGGCTCTTCTGAGGCTGCTGGGGCGGGACAGTCTGCGCAGGCTCTGATGGCACCGGTGCAGCCGCTCTGATGGTCACGCCAGATGCCTGCCACCCTCTAGTTGTTTTTCCCCGTCCTAAGCCTGTCCTAAATCCCACTGCAAGTATGGATCCTTGTCTCTGGATTAAGCTGTGTGGGCAGTGTAGTTTCCCAAAACTACAGCCAAATGGCGCAGTTAATAAGGACTCCTGGAAATCCGACCCAGCTCTTGGCAGCAACACTTGCAAGTTAAACAGGTTTTGCACAACACTAAAGGAAATAATGACCAATATAGCTAAAATCTCTTTGGCAGGCAATACCAATACAAAGGTCAGTCATTTTTCAAGTGTCTTTTTTTTTTTAAGTAATTCCATTAATATAACAAAGGGGATTTTTTGCAATATTAAAAAGGAAACAGCTTTGTTGTTTTAACAAACATATTGCAAAACTTGTACTTTTAAAATACATTTTCTGCCATTATGGGACTTTTCGATGGCTGGGAATGTTGTGAGAGGGAGAGCTACGATGCCCCATCTGGTCTTTCTCTTCTGTTGAGATGTGTTCGGCATCTAGTTGCAGTAAAGTCAGGGCTAACTAAAATCAAGATTTTTAGGGACACATTGTTCAAGTCCTAACAATGTAACTGGAAGGGCAAAAGAAAGAGATACCTGGCACTATAAACAGCAGTTAACTTTTTGGCATCTGAAGTCCTCAGGATGAAGCAAAACCAAGTGATTCCTGCTCTCTGTAGCCCACTGTTCCCCGTTAGGGGCTTTCTTGAAAAGCTTTGCAAATTTGATGTTCATCTATCAGACACTTTCTCTGTGTTGAAGTTCCCTGTTCTTTTTAGATATATTGAATTTTGCCATATTACAACTCCTCCTTTCAGACTACCCCTAGAGATACCTGCAGTTAAGACATTTGGTTTCTAGCTAGATGATGCATCTCCCTTTCAATCCTTTTATCATTCCTTTCCTGGTATTTTGCAATTTGTACTGAAGGTGCTCAGCACCAAATTCAGTACTCGAGGCAGAAATCCCAACGGCCTCATACCTCTGGGTGGTACTCTGCCACGCAGCCTGTGATGCCTTTCCAGTTTACAAATGCAATCGGTTTTTGCAAGATGCCTTCCTAACAAAGGAAGGCATCTTCTGAATTCAGCTTCCCTCTTTCTACTTTTCAAACTATGTTACGAGAAAAAAAAAAACAGGTTTTGTTTCTTGGGTTTGCTTCACTTACTTGGCAAAACCATAGCAGAGCTGCTTTCCTATGGGGTTTTTCTTTCAAGAACCCTTATTCCTCTCCTTGGAGAGGGCTATGTACCGGATAGAGAGGACACTAAGGAATAGGAAAGATTTAATTGATGCCAGTGGTTGGAAAGGCAGTAACCAGAATTAAAGAATCATTTAGGTTGGAAAAGACCTTTAAGATCAAGTTGAACCGTTAACCTGGCACTGC